CATGCTCACCATGGACACTTCCCTGATAGGTTGGGGAGTGCACCTAGGGGACCACAGGGCCACTGGTCCCTATCAGAGACGCATCTGCACATAAATCTTCTAGAGCTCAGTGCAGTCAGGTATGCCTGCCTTCCCTTTCTCCCCATCATAAGGAACAAATCCATTTAGGTCCTGACAGACAATATAGCATTTATGTTCTACATCAACAGGTGCGGGGAGCACGATCGCAATCTCTATGCACAGAAGCCATCCAGTTATGGAATTGGTGCATACAACATCACATAGAAATCACCGCTTCCTACCTGCCTGGGTGTCACAACAGCAAATACTTCTCTGAGGAACACGAAAGGGAATTGCATCCCACGATACTCTGACAGCTCTTCTCCCACTGGGGCACCCCATTGATAGACCTGTTTTCCACATCTCGGAACCACAAATGCGATCTATTTTGCTCCAGAGCAGGACTTGGAACTGCATCCTCATTCTGTGGAACAAATCCCTCGTGTACGCTTTTCCACTGATCCCACTGATACACAGGGTTCTACGCGAGATCAGAGAGGACAAGGCCAGGGACATATTTATTGCCCCAGCTTGGCCCAGGCAGACATGGTACCCTTACCTGCTGCCATGTCCATCCGTCCTCCAAGGACTTTCCCCAGAGACCAGATATGCTCTCTCAGGACAACAGTCAGCTTCTCCATCTGCAGCTCCACAAACTCCATCTGACGGCATGGTTCCTTCATGGTTTCAAACCCACGAATTAGCCTGTTCGGAGCAGGTCCAGTACGTCGTCCTGCACAGTAGAAGGGACTCCATTCATAACACTTAGCTGCAAAAGTAGAAATGCTTTTCCGTATGTTGCTTCCACAGACGCTCAACACCCCAGACCGCAACCCTCCCTGATGTCTTAGACTACCTTTCGAAACTAAAACAGGACGGGCTCTTGCTCAGTTCTATCAGAGTGCACTTCATAGCCCTCACCACCTTTCATGACCCGCTGAATGGATATTCACTTTTTGCCCACCCCACCATAAAACACTTCCTCACAGGCTTGCAAAATCTCTACCCTGAGATTCATCCGCCAGCACCCTCCTGAAACCTCAACCTAGTTCTCAGAGGTCTCCTGAAACCTCCCTTCGAGCCCCTAGCTACCTCATCCCTACGCCACATGTCTATGAAAGTAGCATTCTTGGTCGCCATAACATCAGTGAGAAGGGTCGGTGAAATAAGCACCCTGATGGCCTACCCTCCCTAAACGATATTCTCTAAAGACAAGCTTACGATGCGACCCCACCCCAAATTCCTCCCCAAGGTGGTGTCTGCGTTCCACCTTAACCAGCCAATACATTTACCTGCATTCTATCCCAAACCTCGTAAGACTCCACAGAAAGTGGCATTACATACCCTCGATGTCCGAAGGGAAATTGCATTCTATCTTGAGAGAACTAAGCCATTTTGTAAATCCCCTTGGCTATTTCTCTCCACTATTGAGAGATCAAAGGGCGATGCTATAATATAAGCAATGACTCTCCAAGTGGATCTCTGACTGCATCAGATCCTGCTACGGACTTGGAATGCTCAACCACCCGAGGGTGTCAGGACTCATTCTATCCGTGCGATGTATACATCCGTTGCCTTCCTCCACAACATACCTATTACCGACATATCCAAGGCAGCCATGTGGACATCTGACCACACACTCGCCAAACTTTCATTCTATCACACAGGATACCACAGCAGATGCCATAGTAGGCCATACAAGTACTGTCTACCGTTATTACAGCCGCAACTCCAAAATCCCACCAACCATAGTTGGTACTGCTTCATGTTCATCTGCAGTGGAGCACCACAGGGACAGCACTCTAAGAATGAGAGTGATTGAGGTTCTTCGAGATGTGTGTCCCTGTGGGTGCTCCACTACCCACCCTCCTCCCCTCTACTTTGGAGTGCTAATCAGACAACTGTACGGTAGAGAAGGAATCTAAGGGAGCGTGGGATGCGCACACTTAGGCAGACTCTAACAATGCCGCGAGACAGCAGCTTAGTGCGTGCGTCCCGACCAGGCACTGCTACTGAAGATCTCCGATCACCAGGACACACCGTCACCGGGAGTGGAGCACCACAGGAACACACATCTCAAAGCACCTCAGTTACTGCAAGGTGAGTAACCTTCTCATATAGTAGTTGAGCAGTTAGACTATTAGGCATTCTTACATTGTTTAGCTATCATCAGTATGCTTTATTGCACTATTAGGACACTTTTCTAGAGAGACTAGGGGTATGTCTACACTACGAAATTAGGTCGAATTTATAGAAGTCGGTTTTTTAGAAATCGGTTTTATATATTCGAGTGTGTGTGTCCCCACAGAAAATGCTCTAAGTGCATTAAGTGCATTAACTCGGCGGAGCGCTTCCACAGTACCGAGGCAAGCGTCGACTTCCGGAGCGTTGCACTGTGGGTAGCTATCCCACAGTTCCCGCAGTCTCCGCTGCCCATTGGAATTCTGGGTTGAGATCCCAATGCCTGATGGGGCTAAAACATTGTCGCGGGTGGTTCTGGGTACATATCGTCAGCCCCCCGTTCCCTCCCTCCCCCCCGTGAAAGCAAGGGCAGACAATCATTTCGCGCCTTTTTTCCTGAGTTACCTGTGCAGACGCCATACCATGGCAAGCATGGAGCCCGCTCAGGTAACCGTCACCCTATGTCTCCTGGGTGCTGGCAGACGCGGTACGGCATTGCTACACAGTAGCAGCAACCCCTTGCCTTGTGGCAGCAGACGGTACAGTACGACTGGTAGCCGTCATCGTCATGTCTGAGGTGCTCCTGGTCGCCTCTGTGAGGTCGATCAGGAGCGCCTGGGCAGACATGGGCACAGGGACTAAATTTGGAGTGACTTGACCAGGTCATTCTCTTTAGTCCTGCAGTCAGTCCTATTGAACCGTCTTATGGTGAGCGGGCAGGCGATACGGACTGCTAGCAGTCGTACTGTACCATCTTCTGCCAGGCAGGCAAGAGATGTGGATGGCATGCAGTCCTTCTGCACCGTCTGCTGCCAGCCAAAGATGTAAAAGATAGATGGAGTGGGTCAAAACAAGAAATAGACCAGATTTGTTTTGTACTCATTTGCCTCCTCCCCTGTCTAGGGGACTCATTCCTCTAGGTCACACTGCAGTCACTCACAGAGAAGGTGCAGCGAGGTAAATCTAGCCATGTATCAATCAGAGGCCAGGCTAACCTCCTTGTTCCAATAACAACGATAACTTAGGTGCACCATTTCTTGTTGGAACCCTCCGTGCAGTCCTGCCTGAAATACTCCTTGATGTACAGGCACCCCCTTTGTTGATTTTAGCTCCCTGAAGCCAACCCTGTAAGCCGTGTCGTCAGTCGCCCCTCCCTCCGTCAGAGCAACGGCAGACAATCGTTCCGCGCCTTTTTTCTGTGCGGACGCCATACCAAGGCAAGCATGGAGGCCGCTCAGCTCACTTTGGCAATTAGGAGCACATTAAACACCACACGCATTATCCAGCAGTATATGCAGCACCAGAACATGGCAACGCGATACCGGGCGAGGAGGCGACGTCAGCGCGGTCCCGTGAGTGATCAGGACATGGACACAGATTTCTCTGAAAGCATGGGCCCTGACAATGCATGCATCATGGTGCTAATGGGGCAGGTTCATGCTGTGGAACGCCGATTCTGGGCTCGGGAAACAAGCACAGACTGGTGGGACCGCATAGTGTTGCAGGTCTGGGATGATTCCCAGTGGCTGCGAAAATTTCGCATGCGTAAGGGCACTTTCATGGAACTTTGTGACTTGCTTTCCCCTGCCCTGAAGCGCATGAATACCAAGATGAGAGCAGCCCTCACAGTTGAGAAGCGAGTGGCGATAGCCCTGTGGAAGCTTGCAACGCCAGACAGCTACCGGTCAGTTGGGAATCAATTTGGAGTGGGCAAATCTACTGTGGGGGCTGCTGTGATGCAAGTAGCCCACGCAATCAAAGATCTGCTGATATCAAGGGTAGTGCCCCTGGGAAATGTGCAGGTCATAGTGGATGGCTTTGCTGCAATGGGATTCCCTCACTGTGGTGGGGCTATAGACGGAACCCATATCCCTATCTTGGCACCGGAGCACCAAGCCGCCGAGTACATAAACCGCAAGGGGTACTTTTCGATAGTGCTGCAAGCTCTGGTGGATCACAAGGGACGTTTCACCAACATCAACGTGGGATGGCCGGGAAAGGTGCATGATGCTCGCATCTTCAGGAACTCTGGTCTATTTCAAAAGCTGCAGGAAGGGACTTTATTCCCAGACCAGAAAATAACTGTTGGGGATGTTGAAATGCCTATATGTATCCTTGGGGACCCAGCCTACCCCTTAATGCCATGGCTCATGAAGCCATACACAGGCAGCCTGGACAGTGGTCAGGAGCTGTTCAACTACAGGCTGAGCAAGTGCAGAATGGTGGTAGAATGTGCATTTGGACGTTTAAAGGCGCGCTGGCGCAGTTTACTGACTCGCTTAGACCTCAGCGAAACCAATATTCCCACTGTTATTACTGCTTGCTGTGTGCTCCACAATATCTGTGAGAGTAAGGGGGAGACGTTTATGGCGGGGTGGGAGGTTGAGGGAAATCGCCTAGCTGCTGGTTACGCGCAGCCAGACACCAGGGCGGTTAGAAGAGCACAGGAGGGCGCGGTACGCATCAGAGAAGCTTTGAAAACCAGTTTCATGACTGGCCAGGCTACGGTGTGAAAGTTCTGTTTGTTTCTCCTTGATGAACCCCCCCCGCCCCTTGGTTCACTCTACTTCCCTGTAAGCTAACCACCCTCCCCTCCTCCCTTTAATCATTGCTTGCAGAGCCAATAAAGTCATTGTTGCTTCACATTCATGCATTCGTTATTCATTCATCACACAAATAGGGGGATGACTACCAGGGTATCCCAGGAGGGGTGGTGGAGGAGGGAAGGAAAATGCCACACAGCACTTTAAGCACAGCACTTTAAAAGTTTACAACTTTAAAATTTATTGAATGACAGCCTTCTTTTTTTTGGGCAATCCTCTGTGGTGGAGTGGCTGGTTGGCCGGAGGCCCCCCCCACCGCGTTCTTGGGCGTCTGGGTGTGGAGGCTATGGAACTTGGGGAGGAGGGCGGTTGGTTACAGAGGGGCTGCAGTGGCAGTCTGTGCTCCAGCTGCCTTTGCTGCAGCTCAACCATACACTGGAGCATACTGGTTTGGTCCTGCAGCAGCCTCAGCATTGAATCCTGCCTCCTCTCATCACGCTGCCGCCACATTTGAGCTTCAGCCCTGTCTTCAGCCCGCCACTTACTCTCTTCAGCCCTCCACCTCTCCTCCCGGTCATTTTGTGCTTTCCTGCACTCTGACATTATTTGCCTCCACGCATTCGTCTGTGCTCTGTCAGTGTGGGAGGACAGCATGAGCTCGGAGAACATTTCATCGCGAGTGCGTTTTTTTTTTTTCTTTCTAAGCTTCACTAGCCTCTGGGAAGGAGAAGATCCTGTGATCATTGAAACACATGCAGCTGGTGGAGAAAAAAAAAGGGACAGCGGTATTTAAAAAGACACATTTTATAAAACAGTCGCTACACTCTTTCAGGGTAAACCTTGCTGTTAACATTACATACATAGCACATGTGCTTTCGTTACAAGGTCGCATTTTGCCTCCTCCCACCGCGTGAACGGATTTTGGTTGAATGCCAGCAAACATACACTGCAATGCTTTGTTCTACAGTGATTCCCGAGTACGTGTTACTGGCCTGGAGTGGTAAAGTGTCCTACCATGAAGGACGAAATAAGGCTGCCCTCCCCAGAAACCTTTTGCAAAGGCAGAACCGCAAATGCCAGGGCAAAGTAATCCTTTCACATGCTTGCTTTTAAACCATGTATAGCATTTTAAAAGGTACACTCACCAGAGGTCCCTTCTCCGCCTGCTGAGTCCAGGAGGCAGCCTTGGGTGGGTTCGGGGGTACTGGCTCCAGGTCTAGGGTGAGAAACAGTTCCTGGCTGTCGGGAAAACCGGTTTCTCCGCTTGCTTGCTGTGAGCTATCTACAACCTCCTCATCATCATCTTCTTCGTCCCCAAAACCTACTTCCGTATTGCCTCCATCTCCATTGAAGGAGTCAAACAACACGGCTGGGGTAGTGGTGGCTGAACCCCCTAAAATGGCATGCAGCTCATCATAGAAGCGGCATGTTTGGGGCTCTGACCCAGAGCGGCTGTTCGCCTCTCTGGTTTTCTGGTAGGCTTGCCTCAGCTCCTTCAGTTTCACGCGGCACTGCTTCGGGTCCCTGTTATGGCCTCTGTCCTTCATGCCCTGGGAGATTTTCACAAAGGTTTTGGCATTTCGAAAACTGGAACGGAGTTCTGATAGCACGGATTCCTCTCCCCAAACAGCAATCAGATCCCGTACCTCCCGTTCGGTCCATGCTGGAGCTCTTTTGCGATTCTGGGACTCCATCATGGTCACCTGTGCTGATGAGCTCTGCATGGTCACCTGCAGCTTGCCACGCTGGCCAAACAGGAAATGAGATTCAAAAGTTCGCAGTTCTTTTCCTGTCTACCTGGCCAGTGCATCTGAGTTGAGAGTGCTGTCCAGAGCAGTCATAATGGAGCACTCTGGGATAGCTCCCGGAGGCCAATACCATCGAATTGTGTCCACAGTACCCCAAATTCGAGCCGGCAACGTCGATTTAAGCGCTAATCCACTTGTCAGGGGTGGAGTAAGGAAATCGATTTTAAGAGCCCTTTAAGTCGAAATAAAGGGCTTCATTGTGTGGACGGGTGCAGGTTTACATCGATTTAACGCTGCTAAATTCGACCTAAAGTCCTAGTGTAGACCAGGGCTAAGTGTTTTGTTAACTCTAGAAAAGCATATATTCTTAAAGACAGGATTGTATATGTGCACTGTATTCATAAGAATGCTACAGAATCAAAATACTGATCTGAGAATAGAAGGAAAAGTAAATAAAAGTAATAAAAGGAAAACAAGTTCAAAAGATCTATGTTCATGAAGTGAAAAAATGTGAATTCTCTGATTTAAATACTTCAACTCATAAAGGATCAGTCATGTGAAGGGCATTAATCAATACTATTCAACAGTTACTGTCAGGTCATATTTTACACTTTGCGTCCAGAATTAGTGTTCATGTTTCTGTGGTCCTTTCTCTTCCTCCTTCTCCTATGCACTGATTTAAGTTATTGTGGGTGCATAGAAACTGTGGGAAAATTGGATTGTTTAATTCTGCCTAAAGAAGTAAATGGGATAAGGGAATGCAATGGCAAACTACATCTTTACCTGTTTGCTGGCAGTGTCTGCTTTTGTTACTGCTTTTCTTGTAGAGATAGTGAGAAGAATGAATTGGTAGTCATTTTAGTGAGAGAAAAGTGTTACTTTGCCGAGTGATAGAGCACAAGTGTTGTTATAATACTTCATTTAGCAGAATATTTAAGTGAATGCAGTGTTTGGGAAAAGTGCCTGACTTTCTGTGTCAGAAGTTGAAGCTTAAGTTATTCACACAATTATAACCTGAGAAGCAGCAATGCAAGCTTTCTCCACATTACAGTCGTCAATGTACTTCAACTCTGATCTGAAGAACTAATTCAAGGAATGAAAAGATGGTTCTTTCTCTGTACACATTTATTGTTTGACTACTGAATAGTGATAATTGTGGTGTGGACATCTGTCTGTAGGGAGCTGGACTGAAAATACAAACTCGTTTCACATGGACCCAGTCAGTACTATCCGGTAATCTTGTGTCACTGTTGATCTTTTGTTGGATGATTTAGCTGGGGATGGGTCCTGCTTTGAGCAGGGGGTTGGACTAAATGACCTCCTGAGGTCCCTTCCAACCCTGATATTCTATGATTCTATGATCTTGCTTGGATTTGTAATTAATAAGATGAATGAATTCTACAGCCTCTGAAATCAGGCTGAACTTTTTCAGATGAACAAGCATCTCAAGCAGGTTATTAAGAAAAAGCAGAAAGCCTAGAAGGAATGGAAGAGAAGATGGATCAACAAGTAAAACCTACCTTTTGGAGGTCAGGAAGTATAGGGATAAAGGGAGAATTGCCAAAAGCCAAGCGGAATTGGACCTTGCAAAGCGAATTAAAATCAATACTAAATGGTTCTTTAGCCATATAAATAAAAACTAAAAAAGGAAGGAAGAAGTGGGACCACTAAACACTGAGGATGGGGTGGAGACTAAAGATAATTTAGGTGTGGCCCAACACCTAAACGAATACTTTGCCTCATCTTTTTTAATAAGAGTACTGAGGGGTTTGGGGACAGTGGCAGGAAAATTTAGTTCAACTGGAGAAGATGGGAATTAATATGGAAATTGAAAGGTGGGGAAGGAACAGATTTAAGAGGAGACCGCAATGGGTGATGCTGAAAGGTGGACTGTCAGTTTGGTCTTGGGCCATTCTTATTTTCATTAATGCCTTTGGCACAATAAAATTTGCAGATGAGACAAAGTTGGAAGATACTGGCAATATGGAAGAGGACCGGCATATCATACAAGAAGATTTGACAACCATGAAAACTGGAGTAATAGAAATGGGATGAAATTTAATAGTGCAGAGTGCAAAGTCATGCTCATTACCAACTTGAAGCAACGAAGGAGAGACACCTGGGTGTGTGGGTCAATCACAAAATGTCTGAGCCACAAATTTGATATGTCCATGAAAAAGGCTAATGCAATCCTAGGATGCATCAAGCAAGGTATTTCCAGTAGAGATAGTGAAGTGTTACCACCATTGTGCAAGGCACTGGTGAGACCTCATCCAGCATACTGTGTGCAGTTCTGACTTCCCACATTTAAGAAAGGTTTCAGAGTAACAGCCATGTTAGTCTGTATTTGTAAAAAGAAAAGGAGTACTTGTGGCACCTTAGAGACTAACCAATTTATTTGAGCATAAGCTTTCGTGAGCTACAGCTCACTTCATCACATGCATACTGTGGAAAATACAGAAGACATTTTTATACACACAAACCATGAAAAAGTGGGTGATTATCACTACAAAAGGTTTATTCTCCACCCACCCCACTCTCCTGCTGGTAATAGCTTATCTAAAGTGATCACTCTCCTTACAATGTGTATGATAATCAAGGTGGTCCATTTCCAGCACAAATCCAGGTTTCCCCCCCCCCCCCACCCCAAAAAACCCACTCTCCTGTTGGTAATAGCTTATCTAAAGGGCCTAATCACATCAGCCACACTATCAGAAGCTCATTCACCTGCACATCTACCAATGTGACATATGCCATCATGTGCCAGCAATGCCCCTCTGCCACGTATACTGGTCAAACTGGACAGTCTCTACGTAAAAGAATAAAGGGACACAAATCAGATGTCAAAAATTATAACATTCATAAACCAGTCGGAGAACACTTCAATCTCTCTGGTCACGCGATTACAGACATGAAAGTTGCGATATTACAACAGAAAAACTTCAAATCCAGGCTCCGGCGAGAGACTGCTGAATTGGAATTCATTTGCAAATTGGATACAATTAACTTAGGCTTGAATAGAGACTGGGAGTGGCCAAGTCATTGTGCAAGGTAACCTATTTCCCCTTGTTTTTTCCTACCCTCCCCCCTTCCTCAGATGTTCTTGTTAAACCCTGGATTTGTGCTGGAAATGGCCCACCTTGATTATCATACACACTGTAAGGAGAGTGATCACTTTAGATAAGCTATTACCAACAGGAGAGTGGGTTTGTGTGTGGGGGTGGGGTGGGATGGGGAGAAAACCTGAATTTGTGCTGGAAATGGACCACCTTGATTATCATACACATTGTAAGGAGAATGATCACTTTAGATAAGCTATTACCAGCAGGAGAGTGGGGTGGGGAGAGAGTAAACCTTTTGTAGTGATAATCACCCATTTTTTCATGGTTTGTGTGTATAAAAACGTCTTCTGTATTTTCCACAGTATGCATCTGATGAAGTGAGCTGTAGCTCACGAAAGCTTATGCTCAAATAAATAGGTTAGTCTCTAAGGTGCCACAAGTACTCTTTTTCTTTATTTAAGAGAGGTTAATTCAAACTGGAACAGGTACAGAGAGAGGCTACTAGGATGATCAGAAGAATGGAGAACCTACCTCATGAGAGGAGGCTTAAGGAGTTCAGCTTGATTATCTTAACAAAATGAAGGCCAAGGTGACATATGATTGCTCTCTCTAAATATATCAGAGGGATAGACATCAGGAAGGGAGGGGAGTTATTTAAGTTAAGGGCCAATGCTGGCACAAGAACAGATAGTTATAAACTAGCTATTGATAAGTTTAGGCTTGAAATTAGACAAAGGTTTCTAACCATCAGATAAGTGAAATTCTGGAACAATTTTCAACGGGGAATAGTAGGAGCAAAAAATCTAACTTTTTTTCAAGAGTGTTCTTGATATAAATTTATAGGGGGGAAGGTCTGATGAGATTGTCTACAATGGCATATGCCCCATCCACAACTGCTATTAACAGATATGTTCAATGGCTGGAGATGGGATGCTAGATGGGGCGGACTCTGAGTTACTACAAAGAATTGTTTGCCAGGTATGTGTCTGGTGGGCCTCGCCCATGTGCTTAGGGTCTAGCTAATCATCATGTTTGGGGTCAGGAAGGAATTTTCTCTCAGGTCAGATTGACAGACCTTCTGGGGAGATTTTTACCTTCCTCTGCAGTTTAGGGCACAGGTCACTTACAGGTTTAAACTAGAGTGGATTCTGTGTAACTTGAGGTTTTTAAATCAATATTTAAGGACTTCAGTAACACAGCTAGAGGTTATGGTCCTGTTACAGGAGTGGGTGGGTGGGGTTGTGTGGCCTACCATGCACAGGAGGTCAGATTAGATTATCATGATAAATCCCTTCTGTCCTTAAAGTCTGAGTCTGAGATTTCCAATCTCAGGTCACTTGGACTTCAAATGAGCCATTATGGATTAAACAGTTTAGCAGACTTTAAAATTAATAGTATTTAGATTGCCCCAGTAAATCTGTGGCCAGAATTCTTACTGTGTGAATTAGTAGCTTAATATACTGTACACCACACATGAATCCACAAACTAAATCTCTAGAAGTTTTCAAAGTAAGCTTTTTCATTGTGATCCATATTGACTCAAATGAAATGGCACATTTTTCAAAAGACAGTGACCAAACGGGAGTATGCTTATCTTGCAGTCTTTGCCCTCAGATAAGATGCTGATATAGCTCAAATAAATGTTTATCAAATACTCACTTTTGGATTGATTCCTTTTGGATGCTTTACCCAACACAGTGTTCACAGTGCTTAAAAATCCATAATTAAAATAATGGATCAAAAACTAATGTTGGACAGTGTTTTCAAAATGAGTCATTTATCAGTATAATTTCTACCTCATGTTTGCAGAAAAGGAATAATTTTCTGCGAACTTCAAAATAAGTTTCTTATAGTCCATGCTTAGTTATTTTAGCTGTGGCTTTCTGGTATTTCACAAAAGTGACACTGGATTTCATAATCCATGATAGCTCTGAAAAGACTTTTTTATTAACAGCATACTGGTTAACCTAGATGAATGTCACTTTTTAACAAGTGTTTTACATTAATGCTGGCTCTGCACATATGGAACTCTGTACTAGCACACCTTGTTATTAAAACTTTGCCTTCTGCCTAAATGTTCAGTCATTTTTTCTTGTCAATTCTTAACTTAATGGTGATATTACAGGGATGTCAATATAGTTTAGCACTCTGCTATGACAAGTTGTAAAAATTCTGAAAGTAGGATAGCAAATTGCTAGTTTTAATCCAAGTATGAAATCCTGACTCTTCACCTCTAGAAACTATA